TGTTAGGCTATATGTACATTACCTAATTTATCCCTCATGGCAATCGTACAGTGGGTATTACTGCTAATCCCCACTGTATTATTACAATCTTACTGTGGGTATTATTACAGATATGAAAACAGACCTTGAGAAGCTCAGCAACCAGCTCTCAAGTCACACATCTCAGGGATTCATTTCCTGTTGTTGTAACATACTACCACAAACATAGTGGTTTAAAACAACATAGATTCATTACCTCGCAGCTCTGGAGGTTGGTGTCTAAATGGGTTGGCAGGGCTGTATTCCTTCTGGGGGCTGTAAGGGAGAAACCATTCCTTGCCTTTCCAGTTTCTATAGGTCATATTCTTTGGTTCATGCCCCAGAACATCACTTTTAATTTCTGCTTCCATCTTCACATCCACATCTTCTCTGCCTGCCTTCCTGCTTTTCTCTTATAAGGAACCCTGTGATGACATTGGCCCCCACGGTAATCTCCCCAGCAAAATTTTTTTTTAAATATATTTTATTGATTTTTTACAGAGAGGAAGGGAGAGAGATAGAGAGTTAGAAACATCGATCAGCTGCCTCTTGCACATCTCCTACTGGGGATGTGCCCGCAACCCAGGTACATGCCCTTGACCGGAATCGAACCTGGGACCTTTCAGTCCGCAGGCCGACGCTCTATCCACTGAGCCAAACCGGTTTCGGCCAAAATTCTTAATCACATCTGCAAAGAACCCTTTTGCCACTTAAGGTGACGTATTCACAGGTTCCAGGGATTAGGATGGAAATATCTTTAGGGGCTATGATTCTAAGCCAACCACAACCAGTGAGCAGAGAAGCCAGAATTGGGACTCAGGCATTCAGATCCCAGAGCCCTTGGCCATCATGTTACGGGGTTTCCTTTGCTGGGATCCCCATCTTACACCCTCCATCCTAGTCTGAAATCTCAGATTCCTGTTGCAAAGGGAGGGAGGATATTTTTAAACCGACTAGAATGTTCTCTTGTAAAAATAAGGAGAGAGTAGGGTGCAGCCACTATGGAAAACAGTCTGGCAGTTCCTCAAAAAGTTACATACAGTGTTATCATATGACCTAACAATTCCACTCCTAGGTATACACCTAAGAGAATTGGAGGCAAGTGCTCAAAGGCTTGTACACAACTGTTCACAGCAGCACTACCCACAATAGTCAAACGGTGGAAACAACCCAGTGTCCATCACGTGATGAATAGATAAAACATGGTCTATCCATACAATGGGATATTATTCATAAAAGGGAATGAAGCACCGACTTGCTACAACATGAGTGAACCTCAAAAACATGATGCCAAGTAAAAGAGGCCAGTCACAAAAGGCCACATATTGTATGATCCCATGTATATGAAATGTCCAGAACAGGCAAATCCATAGAGACAGAAAGTAGTGGTTGCCAGGAAAGGGGGATGGGCGACTGAGTGCTTAGTGGTTATAGGGTTTCCTTTTGGGGTGATGAACATGTCTTGGAACTAGGCAGAGAGTGGTTTTGCAACCTTGTGAATGTACTACTAGTGAATGCTACTGATCTATTCACTTTAAAATGGGTGATGATTAATTTCATGTTATGTGAACTTTATCTCAGTTGGAAAAAAGTGGGGGAGAGGGGTCAATAACTCAGCCCCTCCCCCGCTTGGCCTGGCTGGGTGATAAAAAGGCCCACGGTCCTCTTCCCTCCCCACTGGCCCTCAGTCTTACAGTCCAGACCCCTGGGTGCCTCGTTTCTTGTTTGTGATTATGAAAGTAAAACCACCTCATTAAAATCTGGGAAACTCCAAGGTGTTAAAAGACAAAACCAACCAAAGAGGCCCCAGCCCCAAACAGCAATGATGGGTAGAGGAGGGTTCAGGCAAGTCAGACCCCAGATTCGGATCCTGGTCCCAGCTTTTAACACCCACCAGTGTGCGTGTGACCTGAAACACGGTCCCTGACCCCTCTCTGCCTCAGTTTCCTCATCTGTGTGTGAGAACAGTGTCCCCTCTCTTCAGGTTGTTGTGAGGATTGACTGACATACTCGGCATAGAAGTGTCTCCGGCACAGTGACGAACACTAGAAACAGGCACTGAGTGGCCATGTGTAGCTGGTCAAGCGGAATGAAGTTAACTAGAAGAGGACGTTCTGCCAAGAAAAGGCGGGGGCCTGCAAGTGGGCCACGTCAGAACAAAGTCTTGCAAGCAAGACTTGTTATTCAGAGGCAGAACTTTCCTTGAGGTGATAAATAGTCCATGAGGGCATGGAAAGTTCAAGGAGGGTGCACTGCTGCAGGTGGAAAGAGTCTTTGTATAACATAGGAAATTAATAGTTTAATGTATAACTTAGCTCAGATGATCTCATAAGCATGCCTGTTAGTCATTGTCACTTGCTGTACCCCATTGTTATTTGCTGTACTCCCCAAATAAAAGCCATGAGAGGTTTGGGGGCTTTGCTACTTGCCTGACTAGCAATAGCCCTCTGCTTCTCTAAACTCAATCCTGCACGCCGAGCTCATCTCAGCGTCACCGTTCACAAAGAACATCAACACCATGTGTTGCTCTCACTCATTTTGTGGCTGGGATTCCCTCTAGTTCTTAGTTCTTGGTGTACATTTGGGTTCACCTGCCATCCTCACACTGCTCAGACCGCTTTAGCCTCCCCTCCACTTCTCCCAGTCACCATAGCCAAGAGTGTCTTGCAAATGACTGCCGCTTTCTGACCCTCCAGTTCACAATCGCTGAGACTTTCTTCCCAACGTTTTTCAGAATCCCGTATCACTCACATGTGATGGTTTTCCTGGAGAAAAGTGATGGTCTTCCTGCAGAGAGGCTATTTCCGTAGGGGACATTCCCAGAAGCAGAATGTGCTCCGGCTCAAGGTCATACCATGGGTCACTGGCACTCCTTGGTCATCTGCACCTAAAGTTCTCATTGGCTTTGATGAGGCCAGCCTTGCTGAATCCCTCAAGAGCCGTGGAGTTGTAACTTGAGAGATTTTTCTGCTGGGAATGGAACCACGTTCAGAGCAGACTCTTGTCCCAGTCCTGCCCTGGGCCCTGCCCAGCCCGGCCCCACTTCCAGCCTCCAAGCCTTGACAATGAAGGTTAAGCCTCTTGTCAGATGTGTAGACAGTGGGGGAGTAGAAGAGTGTGGGCAGAGAGGGACAGAAGGCTGGTTGGAGCACGGGACAGGTAGTAAGTGTATTGGGCAGACTGAGTGGATGGACAGAACAACCCTAATAGTTTCCTGGCACACAGTCACGCCCTCCCCTTTCTGCTTTCACAGCTGAAGAGTAGCTGCAACAGAGATCTTATGATCTGCAAAACCTGAAATCTGTATACTGTCTGAGAACTATTTATCAACATCTGAGACTGAGGATTGCTTAGGGCTTGCAAACTCAGGTGCCAGAAAATAGGTGAGAAAAAAGTGAGATGGATTTGGTATAAGAAACATCAGGGAGCCCGGCTAGTGTGGCTCAGTAGTTGAACGTCGACCTATAAACCAGGAGGTCAAGGTTCGATTCCCGGTCAGGGCACATGCCCAGGTTGCAAGCTCAATTCCCAGTAGGGGACATGCAAGAGACAGCCAATCAAGGATTCTCTCTCATCATTGATGTTTCTATCCCTCTCCCTTCCTCTCTGAAATCAATAAATTTTTTTTTTTAAAAGAAACATTAGGGAAGGCTGAGGACTGTAGCAAATTGAAGAGCATATTGCCCAGCTAGAGGGGAGCTTGAATCAGCTACGGGCTGGGCCCAGAGTTGCCAGGGCTTACAATCTCTAAAATAACATTGGAAATCTAGATCTTTGTGTGAATAAGAAAAGAGACCAGAGAAGATGAGCCCGTGGCCTCAGATTTCATCTCTGCCATTTCCTCGTTGTGTGACCTTGAACAATCCCCTTGACTCATGTATAAATGGGGTTATCTATAAACAGTATAGTAACAGCACATGTTTCATGGGCTATGATGATTATTAAATAAGTTCTCCTTCTATGGCTCCTAGAACAATGCCGTGTGATTAAGTATTTGCTAAATTGATGCTTTCAGTTTTCAATGCTGCCAATTTAAAACACTATGATACCAGCAATGGATAGACCAAAGAAAGTACATGGATGTTCTGCTTTAGGTCATAAGTTTGCATCCCCTGGCAGAGTGGCTAAGGGAGATGAACTTGGAAGCCAGAGAGACTGGCTGAATGAAGCCCAGATCTGTCACACATACCATCTAAGTGACCTTGGGCAAGGGACCTGCCCTGGGCACCTGGGTTCCTGTCTATAGTCCTAGGCCAGTGGTTCTCAACCTGTGGGTCGCGACCCCTTTGGCGGTCGAAAGACCCTTTCACAGGGGTCGCCTAAGACCATCCTGCATATCAGATATTTACATTACAATTCATAACAGTAGCAACATTACAGTGATGAAGTAGCAACAAAAATAATTTTATGGTTGGGTCACAACATGAGGAACTGTATTTAAAGGGCCAGAAGGTTGAGAACCACTGTCCTAGGCCAAGGTCGTTGTGAGGATTGCAGGGTAGTGTCTCGAACTGGCCTGGAGGAGCAGCTTACCTGTCCCTGCCCTCGGCTCCCTGCTGCAGAGGAGCCCCCAGGTGGTGTCACAGGGAGCAGTGGGGCTTTGATTCTTCAGTTAACTGTCACCCTCTCCCCTCCCCCTCACCACAAACGCCAGGATCTGCCAGGACAGGGCAGCCCCTAAAGCTCCCACAGGAGCCCAGGGCCTCAGGTGCCACACGAGGCTGCTTCTCTCTCTGTCTCCGACAGGTTGGCCGCTGGGCTTTGCTGGGGTGGTGTCTGAGCAGAGAGTCTGCCTGGGCATGGCTGGGTCTGGAGTGGGAGCTGGGGTACAGGAGGAACAAATCCCTGGGAAGGTGCATATCCGGATGGGAGTTCAGTCTCCCTCCAGAGGCAGCTCCCCTGGGCACCGCTCACCAAACCCCTTGGGCCATGGGCGCCTGGAGGATAGACGGACCAGGGGCATAATGTGTGGGAGTATTTGGAAGCAGAACTAACGAGTCAGGGTTCAAAATGAGAACTCAGATGTTCCTCCTTGGAGCCCCAGCAACCTCTTCTCCCCACCTCACCCAGATACCAGGTATCGTTGTGCCCTTGGCCCCATGGACCCCCTAAGGCGATCCCTCTCCCCCTGCTCATCAAGGCCCACCTCCTGCGAGATGCTTGGTTATGTGGGCATCGAGGCCGTGCTGGACCAACTGAAGATCAAGGCCATGAAGATGGGTTTTGAGTTCAACATCATGGTGGTGGGTGAGTGAGAGGCGGGGCTCAAGGAGGACCAATGGGCCAGGGCATGTCGCCTCACCTCTTGGGACCTTGTAGTTGAAAATCTGGGAAACACTGAGTTAAAAGGCAAAAATCACCCATAAAGCCCCAACCAAACCCAAACAGAGCAGTAAAATCTAGGCCGAGGCAGGAAGTGGTGAACACCCCACTCAGATCCTGGTCCCAGCCCTAAGCCCACCAACCAGCAGGGAGGGATCTTGTGCACAGCCTCTGACCTCTCTCTCTCCACCTCAGTTTCCTCATCTGGCTTAACACAGTGCCTGGCGTTTAGTAAGTTCCAGTTTATCTGGAATTACTTCTTTTTTTTAAATTTATCTTTATTGTTGAAAGTATTACAGATGGCTCCTCTCCCCCTCCCTCCCTCCACTGACTCCCTCTACCCCACACCTGCCCTGGAATTGCTTTCTTATATATTCACAATTGATTTTGTAGGTCAATACTATACTTTTTAATTTTTTTAAATTTATTGATTGATTTTAGAGAGAAAGGAAGGTAGGGAGAGAAAGAACATTGATTAGTTGTTCCACTTATTTATGCATTCATGGGTTGATTCTTATATGTACCCGAACTGGGAATGGAACCCAAAACCTTGGTGTATCAGGATGACACTCTAACCAACTGACTACCCGGCCAGAAAACTACTATACTTTTAACAAAACAAACTAGATACAACAGGACACAAAATATTGGAGTGTGTATCTCCAATTAAGGCAGCACTGTATAATAGAAATGTAACATGAGCCATATATATAATTTTTTTTCACATATGTAATTTTTAAATTTCCTAGTAGCCACTTTTTAAAAAGTAAAACAAGGTAAAATTTTGCTGTTGTTAATCTTCACCCGAGGATATTTTTCCACTGATTCTTAGAGAAGGTGGAAGGGAGGGGAGAGTGAGGGGCAGAGAGAGAGAAACATCGATGAGAGAGAGACACATTGGTTGCCTCCCTCACGTGCCCAGACCAGGCGGAGGGGATTGAGCTTGCAACCGAAGTACGTTTCCTTGATCAGAATTGAACCCAGGACCCTTCAGTCCGAGGGCCGATGCTCTATCCAATGAGCCAAATTGGCTAGGGCAGAAGAAATTAATTTTATATATATATATATATATATATATATATATATATATATAATTGATTTTTTACAGAGAGGAAGGGAGAGGGATAGAGAGTTAGAAACATCCACGAGAGAGAAACATCCATCAGCTGCCTCCTGCACACCCCTTACTGGGGATGTGCCCGCAACCAAGGTACATGCCCTTGACTAGAATCGAACCTGGGACTCTTCAGTCCACAGGCCGACGCTCTAGCCACTGAGCCAAACTGGTCAAGGCAAAATATGTGCCAAAATGCTATTATCTCAACATGTAATCCATCTAAAAATTCATGATATCTTTTACGTTCTTCTTGTCTTATCCAGTCTATAAAACCTGGTTTGTATTTTCCATTGAGGGTACATCTCAATTCAGATTTGCCATATTTCCAGGTGGACTAGCCAAGTGTGGCTTCTGTGTTGGACAGAACAACCCTAAGGACAATTTGGTTATATACACAAAGGTGTGTCCTGGGTTTACAGTAGGATGTTTCCTAGGGGGAGATGCCGTCCACAGAGTTAGAGAGGCACCTCACATCCCACAGGCAGGATGCGAGAACCTCTCCAAGTAGCTAAAGAAGCCAGACACAGAAGAGTAGCTGCTGAGTGATCCCCTAGGTCAGTGGTCGGCAAACTGTGGCTCACTAGCCACATGGGGCTCTTTGGCCCCTTGAGTGTGGCTCTTCCACAAAATACCACGTGCGGGCGAGCACGTACAGTGCGATTGAAACTTCGTGGCCCATGTGCAGAAGTCAGTATTTTGTGGAAGAGCCACACTCAAGGGGCCAAAGAGCCGCATGTGGCTCGCCAGTCGCAGTTTGCCAACCACTGCCCTTGGTCAAGGGAGGAAAGAACTGCCTCTGCTGTTATAAGCTAGGAGAGTGGCAGTCCCTGGGGGAAGGGGTTAATAGTTGCTGAGATGGGGCATGAGTGAGCTTGGGGGGAGCTGTGTGTTTTGTGATCTGGTGTTTCGTACACAGGTTGTTTCATTTGTAAAAACTTGAACTGCCCATCTTATATAATAAAAGGCTAATATGCAAATAGACCAAATGGCGGAACAACCAACCAACCAGTCGCTATGACATGCGCTGACCACCAGGGGGCGTGTGCAGAACATGGTGGGTGTTGGCTGAGGTGGGATGGGGAAGCAGGTGAGAGGGGGCACTAGACCAAGGTGGGCGCTGGTCGCGGTCATGGGGGCGAGCCTCTGGAGGTGACTGAAAATTCTTTGCACCGTGGTCCCGACCTGCGCTCGCACCTGCTGCCAGTACTGGCCCTGCTCACACCCGCTGCCGGCGCAAGAGCCGCCGTTTGCACCCACTGCTGGTGCCTGGTGCCAGTCCCGATCACTCAGCACCATCAGTGGCGCCTGTCGGTCCTGATCACCCCTGAGGACCTTCCACTCCCCCCCTGCTTCTGAGGGGTGATCGGGGCAGCAGCCGCCACTCGCACCCGCTGCTGGCACCAGTCCCAATGAATTCTGCCTCCATAAGAAATGGGGTAAGCATTGAGGTGAACACTTAGGATAGTATGCACTTTTTTATATTTATGTTATACTTAGAAAACTCTTTACTTTCTAAAAAGATTTATGAGTTTGAGAAACACTGCCTAAAATATCCACCATTATTGCTGTCATCTGGTTACTCCCAGGGCAGAGTGGGCTGGGCAAGTCCACGATGGTGAACACACTGTTCAAGTCCAAAATATGGAAGTCCACCCCATCCGGCCTGGTGCTGGGGCCCACGCCCCAGACGCTGCAGCTGCACTCGATGACCCATGGTGAGTGGGGCCCCACCCTCACCCCTACCCCCACCTTGTCCCACCCAGTCCAATCCCTTCCTCCCTCCACTCTCCTCCACAGTCATCGAGGAGAAAGGCGTGAGGCTCAAGCTGACCGTGACCGACACGCCTGGCTTTGGGGATCAAATCAACAATGACAAGTGGTGGGTCCTCTGGAGTGGGCGGAGCCCTGGTTGCCCCGTCCCTGCCCCTGCCCCAGGAACATTCCATCCCTGGAACAACCTGACTGTGGTATCTTGGAGCCTCAGTTTATTCGTTTGTATAATGAGTGCACACAACTCTCCCTCCAAGACTGAAGGGAGTCAGTGGGTAAAGGTTTTAGCCACTGCCTGGCACATAGTAAGCACCCAGGAAAGGTATAAGCGGGGGGTAGAAGCCCACACTCGGGACCCCTGGGTTAGACCACTTTCCAGCTGCACAACCTGGAACTAGTCACGGAAGCTCTCTGAGCCCCGGTTTCCTTTGTGACTTGGGAATGATGACACCCACCTTGCAGAGCTGTTCAAGGATCTAAATGAGACAGACACGCAAAATCAGGACTAGCTGCACAATCTGTGGGACCCAGGGCGATGAAAATGTGGGCTCCCTTGTTCAAAAATGATCAAGAATTGTAAGAACAACCGCAGAACAGTCCACCAAGCCTGGGCCCTTCTCAGTACAGATCCCTGGGCTCCATGCACTCCACTAAAGCCAGCCCAGCACCACATGCTTTGTTGAGCATTTGCTACGTGCAAGCTGTGTTCTAGAGCAATAAACAAAACAGGTGAACATCCTTGCTTACATGGAATTTACCTTGTCACAGGGGTGAGGGACAGACAATGAACAAAATAATCAGTTAATCCGAGAGAGAGCCTGAACCCTATCATCCAAAGAGGACATTTCTGAGAGCGACACAGCTACAGAGCTGTAGGGGGTTGCAATTTTAAGCAGAGTGCTCAAGAAAGATCTCTCAGAAAGGTGACATTTGGACACAGATTCCAGGAGATGAGAGGATGAGCCACGTGGACATGGGGGAAGGAGTGTCTGAGGCTGAGGGTGGCATGTGCAAAGGCCCTGAGGTAGGCAGGCTGGTGTGGCTGGCAGGGCCGGAGGAATAGGGAGAGGAGGAGGAGAGGGCAGGCAGGAAGCAGTGGTCGGCAAACTCATTAGTCAACAGAGCCAAATATCAACAGTACAACGATTGAAATTTCTTTTGAGAGCCAAATTTTTTAAACTTAAACTATATAGGTAGATACATTGTTATTAACTTAATTAGGGTCCTCCTAAGGCTTAGGAAGAGCCACATTCAAGGGGCCAAAGAGCCTCATGTGTCACGCGAGCCGCAGTTTGCCGACCACTATACTATAGGGCCCTGTAGGGCAATATAAGGACTGGCTTTTGTTCAGTCCTTAGAGGCTGAGCAGGAAAGGGACACGATCTAACTCCTGCTTTTGGAAGGATCTTCTTGGCTGCCATTGACAACAGCCCACAGAGAGAAGGGGCCCAGGGAGAGGAGTCAGGCAATCCCTCTGCAGTCAGGCAAAAGTCCACCGTGGTTTGAACCAGGCCAGCGGCAATTTCTCTTGTTTAACGCTCACTCTCCCCACCCCAAAGTAGGTATTCTTATTGTCCCCATTTTATAGACAGGAAAGATGAGGCCTCAGCTCAAGAAAGGCAGAGGGACTCTCTGCTGATGCAGGGAGTAAAGATGAGGAGTATACTCAGGGGCCCAAGCACCTCAAGTTGTGCGAGACCAAAGGTCCCGTGTCCTGGGCAAACGGGTTAATTGGTCATCTGCAGGGGTGACTACCCAAAGGACCCAGGGAGACAGGTGGGGCTCCCGGGCACAGCCCTGAGGTCGGGTCCATCCCCCACCCCAGCTGGGACCCCATCCTGGGCTACATCAATGGACAGTATGAGCAGTACCTGCAGGAGGAGATCCTCATCACCCGCCAGCGCCACATCCCCGACACCCGGGTGCACTGCTGTGTGTACTTCGTGCCGCCCACTGGGCACTGGTGAGGTGGCTGGGCCGACCAGGGCAGAGAGGAGGAGCGGGGAGAGGAGAAGGAGGGGTTCCCGGCATGGGCTGTGGGCTGGCATCCCCTCACTCACACACTTGCTGCTGCCACTACCACCACCATCACTGTCCTGCCTGAGCAGCCTGAGGCCCCTGGACATTGAGTTTCTGCGGCGGCTGTGCCGGACTGTGAACGTGGTGCCCGTGATCGCTCGGGCGGACAGCCTGACCATAGAGGAGCGAGAGAACTTCAGGCGCACGGTGATCTGGGTGCCTGAGGCGAGGATGGGGTTGGTGGGGGTGGGGAGGAGCAAAGTGCATAGGTTGACCTGAGGTTCCCGGGCCCCCAGATCCAGCACAACCTGAGGACCCACAGCATCGATGTGTACCCACAGCAGTGCTTCGATGAGGACGTCAATGACAAGATCCTCAACTGCAAGATCCGGGTAGGAGGCCGTGGGGGCAGGGAGGCTAGCGGGACAAAGGCAGAGTGATTTTCTTCCCTCTCGTTCTTTCCATCTGAAGATTATACTGGGAGAAATGTCATCTGTTTCTAGCAGATGTGAATCTCTAAGGTGAGCGAGAAATAAGTCATAGCAACAACCCACAGAATAAGAGGAAATGTGTACAAATGCCATGTCTGATAAGGGACTTGTATCCTGATTATAAAAAGATCTCTTACAAATCAACAATAAAAGACAGCCCAATTTAAGAATGGGCAACGGCTCTTGAGTAGACATTTCCCCAAATACTTTATAGGAATGGCCAATGAGCATATGAAAAGATGGTCGACATCATCAGTCATAAGGGAAATGCACATCACTTCACACCCCTAGGATGGCTATTATCAAAATGAGAGATAATAACAAGTGTTGTGAGGACGTGGAGAAATGGAAACTTTCACACCTTGCCGGTAGGAAGATCAAATGGGTACTGTAGCTTTGGAAAACAGTTGGACAATTCTTCAAAAGGCTAAACGCTGCCCTGGCTGGTGTGGCTCAGTTGGTAGAGCACTACAACATGTACCGAGAGGTTGCTGGCTCCATACCCGGTCAGGGCACATGCATGGGTTCTGGGCTTGATTCCCAGTAGGGGGCATGCAGGAGGCAGCTGACCGATTTTTCTATTTCCCTCTCTCTAAAATCTCTCTCTAAAATCAATAAGAAGACTAAGGGGAAAAAAAGGTTAAACACTGCTCAGCCAACTTGGCTAAGTGGTTGAGCATTGACCAATGAACCAGGAGGTCACTGTTCAATTCCTGATCAGAGCACATGCCCAGGTTGTGGGCTCGATCCCTAGTGGGAGTTGTGCAGGAAGCAGCTGATCAATGATTCTTTCTCATCATTGATGTTTCAATCTCTCTCTCCTTCCTCTCTGAAATAAATAAAAATATTTTTTAAAAATAGAATATCTCAAAAAAATGAAAAGGTTAAACACTAAGTACCCTGTGACCCAGTAATTTCTCTCCCAAAAGAAATTAAAACCTATGTCCATGTAAAAAACGTATACACAAGTGTTTATAGTAGATTTATTCGTAATAGCCAAAAAGTGGAAACAATCCAAATGTCCATTACCTTGTGAAAGGATAAACAAATGTGGTCTATCCACACGATGGAATCTTACGGCCGTAAAAAAGAATGAGGTTCTGATAGGTGTTACGACCTAGATAACCCTTGAAAACATGATGCTCCGTGAAAGAAGCCAGGCACAAAAGGCCACATGCTGCGTGGTTCCATTATCAGAAATGTCCAGGACAGGCAAATCTACAGAGATAGGAAGTAGATCAGTGTTTGCCAGGGGCTAACAGGCTTCTTTTGGGGACGATGGAAATTCTCTGAAATTAGGTTGTACTAATAGTTGCACAATCTTGTGAACATACTACAAACAACTGGGCTGCACCTTCAAAAGGGTGCATTTTGTGGTATGTGATTTATATCTCAATAAAGCTGTTACAAAAAGGAAAGGAAATAGCGCACATCTTCATTTTCTCTGAATTAACTGAATTCCAACTCCAAGCCCCATCCTGCCATCCTAATGTCGTAATGTACCCCGAGAGTAACACACGGGACGCAAAATCAAATCAAGGAGTCATTTAATCAATAAAGCCAGCGACTGCGAGGGAGATGCGGCTCCAAATCTCGCAGTGCCCGAGTGAGGGCAGGAGCCATCTTATAAGGCAAAAACCACATCCTGCTAGACGTTGGAATGTGCAATTATCTTGCAAAAGCAGTTTTACAGAAGCAGAATTGAGCAAAGTTAATAATCTTTAAAGGTTATCTATAGTTTCAGTTCCTGGAGCCACTGCGTCACCGGAAAGTATTCCCGGAGCCACTGAGTTAAGGAAAGCAGTTTTGTGGTTCTGGCCCTCAGACACAGGAGAATAGCCTTTGTGATGTGGGCTGGCAACATAATGGGGTGATTTATGTGAGTTTCCAGGTCTCAATCTGGAAACTGAGGTAACTACCCTATTGTTTAAGCAAGCAGGTGTACAGAAGCCAGAACAGCAGGGTTAAAATTCAAACAGCAATTTTTACCCGAGATGAACGTTACTATGCTTCATTGCCTCACTTAGGGTGCAGTCAGTGTCAGTCCCCTGAACCTGCGAAGCACCTGCATCATCCATGGACAGCAGACCTCAACTCCAGCCCTGGGGGCCCTGCCAGCCTACACAGTGCTTTCGCTTGGACTAGAGAAAGGCAACAGCTGCCTTCCCAGTTGCAGGCCCACCCTGATTTCAGCCCTACATGGTCATGACCAGTTGCCTTTGTGCCCTGCACAAACTGCACATCCATACATGGAGGCCCTGCTTCCCACCTGGCACCCAATTTCTCTACACATCCCCTCTCCCCCATCCCACCGGAGCAAGGAACAGGATCCCCGTGAAAGATTCAAAGCGCCCGACCTTCACCAGCTCTGCGTTCTGTCCTGAGGCAGGCAAAGACGACAGCCTGGCCACAGCCTGAACAGAGATGGACGGAGCACAGGGAGCACCTTCTCAAATTAATGTCTCAGTAAATCATCCAACAGAACATTGATTCAGGGTTTAGTTGCTACCGGCAGGCGCATAAGAAGTGTACAACAAATGGTTACTATTATTGGCATCAACTTACAAATTGATTCTAGCGATAAAGACAAACCCATATACAGCACTTTGGAGTTTACAAGTTTGAATCTCCACTTCCAGTCAGGAGCAAGTAAACAACTAGAACTGAGTACAGGGTTTAGCAAACATTTTTGTGACAGGCCAGATGATGGTGAATACGGATCTTATGCTGTGTGGGCCAAGCCGGCTCTCACAATTACTCAACTCCGCTGTGGTAGCATGAAAGCCACATAGACAACAGTAACTGAATGGACAGGGCTATGTGCAACTTCACAGAGGGAAACAGGAGGAGGGCCGGGTTGCCTGTGAGCCAGATGTGGCCAACCCTGGTTTACCAAGTTATCATGTTGAATGTGATCACTGTTCCTGTTTCATAGGTAAGAGACTGGCGTCAGCAAGATTTTAGTAATGTGGCTATTAGTAACCACAGTTTCCAAGGGTTACTCTGCTAACCCTTATAATGCTAAGCACTTCCCAAACATTCACAAAGCTCTAAGTCAGTACTACTAAGACTCTCGCTCTACAGATATGGAAACTGAGGCACTGATTCGACTTTACATCTTCTAACTCATTAATATCTTGTGCTCCTCCTACCACTTTCCCCACAAAAGACAGCCCCACCCCCCACCTCGGGATCTTTACTCTCCACATGCCTGGCAAGGCCAACCTTCTGGTCTGTCCCCTCCCCAAAGGACCGGATCCCCTTTGCTGTGGTCGGGGCTGACCGAGAGCACATGGTGAACGGGAGGTGTGTGTTGGGCCGGAAGACAAAGTGGGGCATCATTGAAGGTCAGTGCAGGTGCTTGGGGAGGACACCGGTGAGAATGGGTTGGAAACCAGGACACACCCTCTTGCCTTTGGGACCCTTAGCGCCTATCACAGGGCCCTAGTGATTAAACCCACAACCAGGGAAGAAACAGACCTGGGATCAAGCCCCTTTATAGCTGGGAGGCCTCAGGCAAATTACTGACACTCTGGACTTCAGTTTCCTTTTTAAAAAAATCTTTATTTATTTTTCCATTGATATTTAGAGAGAGTAAAAGGGAGGGAAGAGACAGAGAGAGAGAAACATGGATGTGAGAGCGACACATGGATTGGTTGCCTCCCACACACACCTCGAACAAGGCCAGGGATCGAGCCTGCAACCAAGGTACATGCCCTTGACCAGAATCGAACCCGTGACCCTTCAGTCCGGAGATCAACACTCTATCCACTGAGCCAAACCGGCTAGGGCTGGACCTCAGTTTCTTCACAGAAAAATGAGCATGATAGTAACATAAATTTCATATGGTAGTTGGAGGGGGCAGAGCCACCACTTTGGACAGTGTTCGGCACCCAGAATTTATTGAAGGCCTACTATGTGCCAGGCATACTATGTGCTATTCCTAAGAGGGAGACAGGGAAAATAGGACCGACAGGGTTCCTGTCCCCATAGAGCTGGCAAGATGACGACAGGTGGGAGAAGCATGATGAAGGAAATACGTGGGGTGGGAGAGGTGGGCTACCTCAGGGAGCAGAGAAGGATAAAGATAAGACTATCAGGTAAAGGACCAGCAGTCAGAGCCTGAGTCCTGATGTAGCAATATAATTATTAAAAGTAAAATATAATATGTATTATTCTTATGTATATACTACATTATCTTATGTATATTATACTATATATAAAATAATGTACATACATTATATTAAATGTATATTTATATACATTATATACAATATGTTAAATATATACTATATGTATACATTATATTATACCATATATACACCATAGTATACATTATATTGTATATACAATATAATATATAAGATAAGCGTTCAGTGGATTGACTGATCTAACAACTATTTGTAGGAGCCACCTGTACCAGCCACTGGGGTCACAGCAATGAATGAATGAATCAATCAATCAATCAATCAAGAATGGGAGGTGGGCCCTGGCTGGTGTGCTCAGTGGTTAGAGCACCGGCCCACAAACTGAAGGGTCTCAGGTTCGATTTCCAGTCAAGGGCACATACCTGGATTGCTGGTTCAATCCCTGCCCTGGTCAGAGTGAGCACAGGAGGCAACCAATCGATGTGTGTCTCTCACATCGATGTTTCCTTCTTTCTCTCTCTCTGTCTCCCTCCCTCCCTTCCTTCCACTCTCTAAAAATCAATGGAAAAAAATATCCTCAGGTGAGGATTAACAACAAAAAAGGAATGGGAGGTGGGATAAGACAGTAAGAAATGTGGGGGAAAGATGGTGGTGGGTACAGGTGGTATACAGTAGTCGCTTACTTGGTGCTAAGTATCCTATCTTGCAGTGGAGAACATGGAGCACTGTGAGTTTCCCCTCCTGAGAGACCTGCTCATCCGGTGAGGGTGCAGGGAGCCCAGGGGCAGTGGTGGGCAGGGGCTGGCAGTGGCCAGCTCAGGCTGACCTGCCATCCCTCTCCCAGTTCCCACCTCCAGGACCTGAAGGACATCACCCACAATGTCTACTACGAGAACTACCGTGTCTGCAGACTCAACGAAAGCCACATGCTGCCCCAGGGGCCCGGCTGGGTGAACCTGGACCCGACCCCTGCCAGTCCCTCGGCCATCCCTGGGCCCTCAAAGATGTGCCGATGGGCCCAGGACAATCCCTCCGAGGAGTACTGAACACAGCACACCCCGGGCCACTTGGGCTTCCCAAGTGCTCAGCAGCCCCCCACACACCTGTGTACTAGGACATATATTAAAGGTGAACATTGCTTTTTATGACAAGCTGTGCTTTGAAAACAAAAGGAGTTTTGTAAATGACTTCTTTGAGCTACCCTCAAAAAAAGATGGGTTCTTTTTTAAGTAACAGCATGACACCCAGGCCCTGGGGCGTCATGAAGCCCTGGTGGGGTGTGCCTTGGTGATGGACCCCCTTCTGCCCCAGAACTAGAGTCGAGTTCCAAATCAGACTCTGCCCTCCATCCTGACCTTCCCTCCAGCCCAGGGCTGGGCCCATGGTGTCATAACACTCCCATCTTTGACCATCTTCCCCCAACACTGTGCCCCTGCCCCTGCCTTCCTACCCTGCCGACCAGCACAGGGAGAAACAGCTCCAACTCTGGAGTCTGGCAAAGCTGATGGAAATCCCTGTGCCACGTGATCTTCAGCAAGTCACTTGCTCTTCCTGGGCCTCAGTTTAATCTATAAAACGGAATGGTAGCATCGCTCTCATAGTGTTGTGCGAACAAAATTGAGTAATTTGTGTAATGTGCCTGCCAAGGCCTGCAGAAGGCTCTCAGACAGAGGTGAGGGGCACAGGAGAGAGCTTGGTTGGGGTGGAGGATGTGCCTGCAGAATGTGTGAGCACTTCCCAGGACTTTCCAGAAACCTGGAAAATAAAGGGACTTCAGCCGGCTGGGCTGGGCTCAGTGGTTGAGCATTGACCTAGGAACCAGGAGGTCACAGTTCGATTCCTGGTCAGGGCACATGCCCGGGTTTCCGGCTCGATCCCCAGTGTGGAGCATGCAGGAGGCAGCTGATCAATGATTCTCTCTCATCATTGATGTTTCTATCTCTCTCTCCCTCTCCCTTCCTCTCTGAAATCAATAAAAATGTATTTTAAAAAATAAAATAAAATAAAGAGAAAATAAAAGGACTCCATAGAAGCCTACCTGGTTGGGGCCTGAAGCTCGGTTAGTTTGGTTAACCAGAGGATAAGTGACTCCTATAACCCAAAACCCAAGCCCCTGGAGGGAGAGAGCATGTGGTGAGCTCCCAGTAAGTGACAGTGGGTATACTGGGTCCTTCAGAAAACAGATCCAACAGGACATGTACTAGTATATGGAGATATACTTTATGGGAATTGGCTTACACAGTTACAGAGGTAAGAAGTCTTAACGATCTGCCATCTGAAGCAGGAGACCCAGAAAACCAGTGGTGTTGTTCCGTTGGAGTGGGAAAGCCTAAGAATCAGGAACCAATGGTGTAGGTGCCAGCCGGAATCCAAACACCCGAGACCCAGGCTTTCTGATGTCCATCCAGAAGATGGATGTCTCAGCTCTAGCAGAGAGAGCAAATTCCCTCTTCCTTCGCCTTTCTGTTCTGTTCAAGCTCTCAATGGACTGACTGGATGATGCCCACCCGCATTGGGAGGGTGATCACCTAGAAGACGCAGTCAACTGAATCAGATGCTATTCCAGAAACAATTCTCACGGACACACCCAGAAATAATGTTTACCAGCCATCTGGGCGTCCTTTAGCCCAGGCAAGTTAACAAGAAATTCACCAGCACACCAGCTAAAAGTTTTTTTAAAAATTGAATTTATTGGGGTGATATTGGTTAATAAAATTATATAGGCTTTAAGTGACACCAGCTAAAAGTTACCTTCTCCATGAATCCCTCCTTGACTTCCCAGGTCAACGTACCTGCTGCTCACTCCCTGCATATATCACAGGGTTTGTTTTCTGGTCAATCTCCCCCGTTAGACTGGGAGCTCTGTGAGGGCAGGGATACGTCAGCTTCATTCTGCACCTGACAGGTGCTCAAGATCCAGCTGTTACATAAATGAACCCTTCAGTACCTGCCCCATAACTATTTACCCGTCAGATTCACAAAGCAGTTGAGTCCAGGTTTGAGGGAACCCACACCATCCACACCAACATCTCAGAGTTGGTGTGTGGCTACATAGGGACTGCGCACATTCCCAAAGTTAATATTAGCCCTAGGCAACTTGGCAACGTCTACATTTTTAAAGCAAATGCCCTTTGGCTCAGCAAATGTATTTCTAGGAATGGATCTTATAGACTAGTGGTTCTCAACCTTCCTAATGCCGCGACCCTTTAATACAGTTCTTCATGTTGTGGTGACCCCCAATTTCATTGTTACAAATTGAACATAATGAAAGCATAGTGATTAATCACAAAATCAACATGTAGTTATATATGTGTTTTCCGATGGTCTTAGGTGACCCCTGTGAAAGGGTCGTTCGACGCCCAAAGGGGTCGCGACCCACAGGTTGAGAACCGCTATATAGACAGACCAGGGTTTCTCAACCTCACTATTGACTTTTGGGGACAGATCATTCTTTGCTGTCAGGGCTGCTCTAAGTATTGCAGGATGTTTAGAGCATTTCTGGACCTCCATGCAGGAGATGCCCGTAGCACCACCCACCCAATTGTGACGATCAAAAATGTCTCTCGACATTGCCTGATGTCCCCTGAGGGATAACATCTCCTCGGCTGAGAACCGCAGAGAGTGGTACCTAGGATAGTAAAGACGAGAAGTAGTCTACCCGTCCACCAGGAGTGGACTTGAAAGTAAGTCATAGGACATCCATACCCTGTGTATTATTTCCCTCTGGATGCTGTAACAAATTAGCACAAACAGGGAGGCTGAAATGACACAGTTAATTCTGTCATAGTTCTGGAGATCAGAAATCTGAAATTAGTATCACCGGGTCCAGATCAAGGTGTCAGCAGGGTGGTGCTGCCTCTGGAGGCTGTAGGGGAGAATCCATTGACCAGTGTTTGCCTTTACAAGCTTCCCGAAGCAGCCTGCATTCCTTGGCTCATGGCCCCTTCCTCCACCTTGCTTCAGTTGTCCCTCTGCCTTCCTCTTATAAGGACCATTGTGATTACACTGGACACGCTGGGATTATCCAAGATAATCGAAATCCTCAATCACATCTGCAAAGTTTCTTGTCATATAAGATAACATATTTCTAGGTTCTGAAGCAGGAATTGGATGCTGTGGGGGCTATTCTTCAGCCCACCACACCATGGGATATAACATGGTCCTTAAAAAGAATGAAGTAAGGCAAACACGGCATGACCTCACTTATATGTGGAATCAAAGAGTTGAGCTCATAGAAACAAAGTAGGGTGGCGGTTGTCAGGGGCTGGGGTGGTGGGGAAATGGGGAGACATAGGTCAAAGGGTACAAACTTTCAGTTTTTAGATTAATAAGTTCTGGAGCTCTAATATACAGCATGGTGATTATAATTAACAATATTGTATTATATAATTGAAAGTTGCTAAGAGAGTAGGTCTTAAATATTCTCACCACACATACACAAAGATAACTATGTGTTAACTAACTTTATTGTGGTAATCATTTCACAATATATTCATATATCATCTTAAACTTACATAATCTTACTTGTCAATTACATTTCAACAAACCTGGAGGAGAAAAAAATTGAGGCAGCTCTACAATCATCCATGCGTTCTTTCTACGAACAGATCTCCAGGGCCCACTATATGCGGCTACAGAGGCTGGGTTAAGTGGGGAACAAAACCAAGTCACTGCCCTCCGAAGCGTGCATCTGGGTGGGGCAAGATGACAATAAGCAAGACAAGTAAGTAAAATGCTGAACATGTTGTACTGTGATGGACACTCTGGCACCAAGTAAGGCATTTACTGTCTAGGATTGAAGGGGTTTGTAATTGTAAGTAGAGCGTCAGGGAGGGCCAAACTGAGAAGGCAGCTTAGAGTAAAGATGTGAAGGAGTAAAGGAAAAGATGGGAATATGTGGGGGCAGAGCATTCCAGACAGAAGGAAAAGAGGGCACTGCAAGTGCAAGGGCCCTGGGGCAGGAGTGTACTAGATGTGTTCAAGGAATAGCAAAAAGGCCTGTGTGCCTGGAGCAACATAAACCCGGGGAGAGAGTGGGGAGAAATGAGGACAGAGAGGTAGGTGAGGGGCAGGCCCACAGGCTGTCAAATTTGAGTTCCTTCTATCATAACTCTATTTGTAGAGGTATTGGGTACAAACTTTCAGTTATAAGATGAATAACTGATGGACCACCTACGGATATTGATGAAAGGAAGACAAGGAACAACTGAGTGCATAGCAGATGGCACATGGAGCCTAAATATCTCTGGAAAAACACTCAAGACACTGGGGCAAATAGTTGTTTCTGGGTGGAACAGGAATCAAGAGTGGGAGGTAGACTTAATTTTCACTCTACAGTATCTCCCTCTTCCTTCCTCTCTGAAATCAATAAAAATAATATATTTTTAAAAAGAATGCAAATTCTCAAGAATGGCTATTTTTGTTGTTGTTTAAAAAGTACATTAAGCTCTAGCTGGTTTGGCTCAGTGGATAGAGCGTTGGCCTACGGACTGAAGGTTCAATTCCAGTCAAAGGCACATGCCTCGGTTGCGGGCTTGATCCCCTGTAGGGGGTGTGCAGGAGGCAGCCAATCAATGATTTTTCTCATCATTGATGTTTCTATCTCTCTCCCTCCCTCTCCTTTCCTCTCTGAAATCAATAAAAATATATTTAAAAAAATAAATAAAAAGTACATTAAAACTTGCAGTTTTAGCTTCCTGCACCCTTCCCCCATCACAGCTTTCTCCAACTTCATGAGAAATTATCCTGAATTGGGTGTTTATCCAAACCCCAAGCATTTCTTTACATTTTTACTATGTATGTATACATTCCCTAACTCATATGTAATACTGTTTTGCATATTTTTATAATTTATGGAAATTATATACTGCCACTTGCTTTTTTGCTCAACATCATTCCTATGACATTTATCCATCAATTCTATTCTGTTGATTGACACCTAGGTCGTTTTTAGGTTTTTCCATTATAAACACCGCTCTGAACACAGAGGTAGTCTTTATTATTCACTAAATTAGCGTATATTGCCTCCATTATGCGTCAGGCACTTGGTTTTGCCTCTTTTAATAACAATGACCTATCCCAGGTGTAATTATCCCCATTTTACTAATGAGTTATTCTTGCCTGCTCTACTCCTTCACCCCAACCCAGTCAACCACAGGGCACAGTTGATTC